TAAATTCTGTATGAATTATTTTCTTGGTTTCATTTTCGACCATCCATTGATAGCACATACAAGTTTGAATCATGCAACAACAGTATAAGGCAAATAAAAGCAGTTGAATTTCTTTTCTTCCAAACTGAGTATCTTTAACTCCCCCTTTATCAACTGCCTATTACAATGTTAGTGTTGTGTAGTTAATTAGAAGGCTGGAGAACAAACAAGCATAGGTTTTTTTGCTATGTAAGTGTGCTGTTAGCTGCAGGTTTTGAGTAGCTGCTCTTAACTGGAGGCAGCTCTCTTGTGTTCCAAGTCAGAGAGCTTTTATCACCAGTAGGGTTTGAATTTGTCAAATACCTTTTATCTGGTGATACAGGTCATGATGTGGCTTTTTGTCATGATTTCTATCTCTACTGTACAGAATGCTAATTAATGTTCAGATATTAAACTGACTCTATGTTCTTGGAATAAATCCCCACAGTCATGATGAATAATCTTTTCTATATGTTGCCAGTTTTGATTTGCAAAGATCTCCCTCTCTCCTTCCCTCCCTCCCTCCTTCCCTACCTCCCTTGAATTGCTGGAGATTGAATGCAAGACATGTACATACTAGGCAAGCGTTCAATCATTGAGCTACAGTCTCAGCCATGATCCATTAAGAGTTTTTATATATATTTTCATGAGGGCTACGAATATATATATCTATATATATATAATATATAAAATATATATATATAATTTTGGGGGGGGTCTTTTTTGAGACAGGGTCTCATTGTAGCCCCAGCTGACCTGGAACTCACTATGTAGAACAGGCTGGCCTTGAACACAGTGAGATCTGCCTACCTCTGCCTCCTGAGTACTGGGATTAAAGGCATGCACCACCAAACCCGGCTTTGAATTTGTATTTCTTTTGATGTATTTATCCAGTTTTGTTATCAGAGTACTGTTTCCATCCTTCAAAATAATCACCCCCCCCCAATCTTCTGGAGACACTAAAGGGTGATTTTATTTCTTTTTAAAATATCTGATAGAATTCACTGTTAAAAGATGAGACAGATTAGCAGAGACAGATCTCTGTGAGATCAAGGCCAGCCTGGTCTCTATCACAAGTTCTAGGCCAGCTGGGGCTACAGGTAGACCCCATCTCAAAAAGACAAAAAAAAAAAAAAAAAAAAAAAAAAGTGAAAAAGGAAGCCTTGACACACTGGGCAACCCCATATCAAAAACAAAACACAACTGAACAAACCCCCATATAAAAGAAAACAAGTTGGGCATAATGGCGCATGTCTTTAATCCCAGCACTTGAGAGAGAGGCAGGAGGATCTCTGTGAGTTAGAGGCCAACCTGGTCTATGTAGGGAGTTCTAGGCCAACCATGGGTACATAGTGAGACCCTATCTCAAAAACAGAACAAAACAAAACAACTAAAAACCACTATTATTTTTGGAAATATTTTTAATTAATAATCAATAGCTCAACTGCTTTCTTTCTTTTCTTTCTTTCTTTTTTTTTTTTTTGTCACCTGGCAGTTTCTAAGTATGTTCACTTCCCCCTAAACTGTCTAATTTTGTTTAGCATAAAGCTGTTCCTAATACTCCAGCATGCTACATTATACAGCAATTCTACTCCTAAAGTATAGACCCCAAAGAACTAAAAATATACGTTTACATACAAACTTGAGCATGAACTTGAAATCACCCCAACTCTATCAACTTGAACAGTAAACAAAATGTTGTACATCCACATAACGGAATACTGTTTAGTCATAAAAAGGGATGATGTACTGATACATTTTACAATATCAATACTTAGAAAATATTATGCTAAATCAAAGAAGCCTGACCTATTAAAAGGGCCACCGATTATACGAATTCATTTTCCTGAAACATTTAAAGTAGGCAGTCCAAAGGTACAGAGTAGAACAGTGATGCCAGAATAGGGGAGGGCTGATACTAGGTATTGGCTTAGTCTCTGGAGTAACAGAAATAGTTTAAAGCCCAGTAATTGTGAGTTTCACATGTAAATATATCAAAACCCACTGAGCTGCACACTTTAGAACTGTGCACTGAAAAAGAGTTATAAGCTGAACACGGTCACGTGTGCCTTTAATCTTAGCTATCTGGGACAGCTGAACTAGAAGGATCTTGAATTCAAAGCTCCTGATTTCAAGGCTAGCCTTCTCTCAAAAACAAAAATCATGAGTTATATCTCAATTATAAACTTTTTTGTTATAAACTTTTGAACTTCTGATGACCAGTAGTGATGTCCTCTGTTTAGTTTCCAATTTTGATAATCTGTATCTTTCTTTTTTCTTGATTACAGGTACATTTGTCAATTTTCCATTTCCACTGGTTTTTCTCCGCCCCCGCCTCCCCCCCTCCTCTTCTTCTTTT